CCAGCGCCACACGTCCTTCCAGGGAGAAAAGTTTTCGTATATCCATCGCTTCGTTATTTTAGATCGGTTACGGCGCAGGTGTCCATAGCCCCGTAATCGAGGTTTTCGCCGGCCATGCCCCAAATGAACGTATAGTTATGGGTCGCGCAGGCCGAATGGATCGACCAGGCCGGGGAGATCACCGCCTGGTGCTTCCGCATCCAGATGTGGCGGGTCTGTTGCGGCTGCCCATAAAATGGCATACGGCCGCGTCCGCCGGAAGTTCGAAATAAAAATAGGCTTCCATGCGCCGGTTGTGCGTATGGGCCGGCATCGTGTCCACACGCTGCCCGGTTCGAGTTCGGTCATTCCCATTTGCAACTGACAGTCGGAAGCACCTGTTTGACAATCAGTTTATTGATCGTACGCGCGTTCGAATCTTCGAGCGAGCCCATTTGGCGACGACCGCGTCGGACTGGTTACTTTCCGATCGGGATAGTTCCGGTGGGCCGGTGCGGAATTGATGTAGAACAGGGCCGGTGGCGGAAGCGTCCGCAGAACGAAACGTTACCGTCCGGTCGCCGCTGCCGAGGTAGAGAGCCTCCTTGTAATTCAGTTCGAACGTGTGTCGCCGGGCTTGTTACCGTGCCTTTTCCGCCGACGTTGATGATCCCGAGTTCACGGCGATGCAGGAAAAGGGAGCTTTCAGCGGGTCGATCGGCGTCAGTTCGAGCGGTCGGCCGACTGGCATGATCCCTCCGACGATCAGTCGGTCGTAAGCCGAATAGACGAGCCGGATATCGTCCGGTTCGAACAGTTTTTCGATCAGGAATTCCCTGCGGAGCCTGTCGGTGTCGTACCCCTTCGCATCGTCCGGGTGTGCGCATAGCGTTCTTCGTATTGCATATCGTTTTTCAAATAATAAATTTGTTATTCGGTTCTTTTCCGTTGCGAGGATTCGCGGACGATCATTTTAGGGGGAATCACGATGTCCATGTAAGGCCCTCCGTCGAGTTATCCAGCAGCATCTGCGCGGCGGCGCTTCCATCCGGTAACCGAATTGTTCGACCGAAGTGAAACTGGGGGTGATCAGCTCGCAGAACGGTTCGTTGGCAAATCCGGCCAGCGCCATGTCGTCCGGGACGCGGAGTCCGTGTTCGCGCAGCGACCGGTAGGCCCCGAGAGCTGCATAATCGCCGGCGAAGAAGACGGCTTCGGGCAGCGTCTCCGGCGGCAAACAGTCGTTCCATCGCTTTATAGCCTCCTTCTTCGGTCGTCGCACCCTTCGGCGATCCAGTCGGAGAGCGGTTCGATTCCGTGACGGCGCAGCGCGTCCTCGTAACCCGTCCTCCGGTTTTTCCAAATGCTGACGCGTTGCGATCCGGCATAGTGATAAATCCGGCGGTATCCCTGTCCGATCAAGTGCTCGACCGTATCGAAGGCCCCTTTTAATCGTCCAGCAAAACGGTGCCCGCGTCCAGCCCGGGAGCGTAACGGTCGAAAAGCACCAGCGGCATACCGTAACGGGATAATGCCCGTAATGCGTATAATCCCCGGCGCCCGATGCCAACGAGGCGATCACGCCGTCCACCTTGCCGTGCAGAAAACTGTTCAGTATCCGCACTTCCCGTTCCGGATCGTTCCGGACTGGTAGATCATCACGTCGTATCCCCGCTGCGAAGCGGCTTCCTCGATGCCGTCGATCGCCACGGAGAAAAAATTTCGGCTGACCATCGCACCACGACCCGATCGTTCGGGTGCTGCCCCGCTGCAAGTTGACGGCGAATACATTGGGTTTGTAGCCCATTTCTTCGGCCGTTTTCCGGATCCGTTCGCGCATTTCGACGCTGATCGCGGGGTTATCCTGCAGCGCCCTCGATACCGTGGAAGTCGAAACCCCCAGCTTCCGCGCGATGTCGTAAATCGATATTTTTTTCGTCTTCATAACGGTTTCTTCGCTTCTTTCGTGCAACCGATTGCAAATATAATCATTCCTTTTTACAGATCGTATCTTTCCCCGAATTTATTTGCGCTACACGCTTTGTTGTTACTATGCTTTCCCGATATTTCCCACCGGAACGGTTTGCTTTTCCGGAAAAAACGCTTTACATTTGTGCAAACGGTTGCATTGGCGGCCGAACAGTTGTAAAACCGAAAATCTGACCTGAAACTATGAAAAAGAACAAATGGGTGCCGCTGCTCGGCATCGCGGCTCTGCTGTCGGTGAATGGCGCATGCTGCAAAAGCAAATCGCCGCGAATCGATGTGAAAAAATATACGGAATCGGCGGCGCGGCAAACGGCCGGACTGTATGACAAACTGATGGCTACCGGCGAACGCAAATCCCCGCAAAATTTCCAGAACGGGGTGAACCGTTACTGCGCTTATGAAGGGTGGATCAGCGGTTTCTTCCCGGTTCGCTGTGGTTTCTGTACGAGCTGACCGGTGATCCGCAGTGGAAAACGCGCGCGTCGGAACAGACCGAACGACTCGAACGGATCAAAAACCTGACTTCGGATCACGACATCGGATTCCGAATGGGATGCAGTTACGGCAACGGTTACCGAATCACCGGCGATCCGGCATACCGGGACGTGCTGATTCAGTCGGCGCGTTCGCTGGCGACGCGGTTTCAACCCGAGGCCGGCGTGATTATGTCGTGGAACCCGAACAAACGCTGGAAATGCCCGGTTATCATCGATAACATGATGAATCTCGAACTGCTGTTCAACGCTGCGATTTACAGCGGCGATTCGAGTTTTTATAAAATTGCGGTGTCGCATGCCGATAAAACGCTCGAAAACCACTACCGCGCCGACCACAGCTCTTTTCACGTCGTCGACTACGATCCGCAGACGGGAGCCGTGCGGATGAAAAATACGGCGCAGGGATATGCCGACGGTTCGGCCTGGGCGCGCGGACAGGCATGGGGACTATACGGATTCGTGATCTGCTACCGGTTCACCGGAGACGAACGTTATTTACAGCAGGCAGAAGCGATTGCCGACTTATTCTGAATCATCCGCGCCTGCCGGAAGACATGATCCCCTATTGGGATTTCGACGCTCCGAACATTCCGGACGAACCGCGCGACGCTTCGGCCGGAGCCATCGCCGCTTCGGCTCTGTACGAACTCGCTTTGTACAGCGACCCGAAGTATGCCGACGCGGCCGACCGGATGCTGGCTTCGCTCTCATCGGACAGTTATACGGCCCCTGTCGGGGAAAACGGAAATTTTATCCTGATGCATTCGGTGGGTAGCAAACCGGCAAATTCGGAGGTAGATGTTCCGATCGTTTATGCTGATTATTATTATCTTGAAGCGATTTACCGACACCGGCAGTTCAAGAAGTTGAAAAAGCATTTATGGGACGGGCGCCTACCTGCTTTGGGGAAATAATTGACATTTGTAAATGTTTAGGGACAGGTTTTCCGCCTACGGAAGATTCGGTTCCGGTACACAAACACAGGAATTAATGAATAAAAAATCTCGATGGCTGGCGTGGTTCGTCGCGATCGCAGCGACCGCCGGCCTGTGATCGGATACCATGAAATACGACGGTAACAATCAACTTTTTATTGCCCGGTTCGAAGGCGGCGTTTGGAAACGGATGCGACTGATCCGCTGGAATTGCCGTTGGCACATTCAGGGCTGGGATTCCAGGCCGACCGAACTGGGCATCGGCACCCCGAAGGTTGCCGAAGACAGAAAAATCGCTTTCGGATACGATCATATCCGGGAAAGGAAAAGCCGGGTGCTGATCGACGGGAAAAGCCTGCAGCCGGTCGGAACCCGGGAGGTTTCGGATCGGGTTTCGGCGCAACTTCGTGCCGTCGCGTCTTCGTTCCCGGTATGCGGGTACATACGCTTCTGCGCGACAATCACCTATTGCGCTGGGAGACGTCGCCGACAAACAACGACCGCAAGCCTGCGGCGATTCCGCTGCCTTCGGAGTTGGTGCTCTATAAAATTCGTTAAAATTCAAAATCGTCCAAAATGAATGCGAAAGGTATCGTACTTGTAGTCGTAATTTCTTTCTTTGCAACGTTATCCGGCGCCGATAATAAAGTTTCGATAGATATCGGGAAACTTCCTCCGCATCCGCGCATTCTGTTATGCAAAGGGGCCGAGAAAGCTTTGAAAAAACAAGCGAAACTGCCGGTATGGAACGGGTGTACGAATCCATTTTGCAGGCATGCGATACGATGCTCGGGCTTCCCGTCAACGAACGGGTCGTCGTGGGACGGCGTTTGCTGGCAACCTCCCGTGAAAACCTGCGGCGCATCCTTTTCCTCGGATTTGCCTACCGGATGACCGGTGAAAAGAGGTATTCCGACCGGGCCGAGGCCGAAATGCTGAAAGCGGCTTCATTCTCGGACTGGAATCCGTCCCACTTTCTGGATGTGCCGAAATGACCGCCGCCCTGGCGATCGGTACGACTGGCTCTATCCGAAACTGTCCGAAACATCGCGGCGAACGATCCGTACCGCAATTCTCGAAAAGGGACTGAAACCTTCGTTCGGGAAAGAGCACGACGCGATCCTGAACGCGCCGACCAATTGGAATCAGGTGTGCCATTGCGGCATGGCTTACGGGGCGCTGGCGGTCGCCGAGACGGAACCCGACCTGGCCCGGCGGACGATCGAACGCGCTGTCGAAAAAGTACGTATCCCGATGCGCCATTACGCGCCGGACGGGGCTTATCCGGAAGGATACGCTTACTGGGAATACGGAACTTCTTTCATGTATTGCTCATCAGCGCTATGGAGAATGCTTTCGGGACGGACTTCGGGTTGTGCGATGCTCCCGGTTTTCTGGAGTCCGGGAAATTCATGCTGCACATGGTCACTCCGCAGTTGCGTTCGTTCTGTTATTCCGATTGCAGCACCGACGCAGGATTGCTCCCGGCTCTGTTTTGGTTTTACCGAAAAACGGGAGACGCATCGATTCTTTGCAATCAGGGCTGGTTATTACAGGCGGACAGCCGCAAAAATCACCTGCAAGACCGGCTGCTCCCGTTGCTGTTCGTCTGGGGGCAGGGAGCGTCGCTCGACAAAACCGACCGTGCCGAAACCCTATATTGGAAAGGCGGCGGCGATAATCCCGTTTTCTTAATGCGTTCCGGCTGGAACGATCCGGACGCTCTGTATGTGGGGGTTAAAATGGGAACGCCGGGAGCCAGTCATGCCCACATGGATGTCGGCAGTTTTATTTTCGAGGCCGACGGGGTGCGCTGGGCGATCGATATGGGCGGAGAGGATTACGACCGGCTCGAAAACGCGGGGTGGATCTGTGGAACGGAGCGCAAGGGTCGCAGCGATGGGAAGTTTTTAGATATAATAATAAAGCGCATAATACGCTTACGTTTAATGATAAACCGCAGTCGATTAAAGGAAAAGTGCAGATAAAGGATTGGCGCGATTCGGCTCGGCTCCGTTACGTTGCGATGGATCTGACTCCGGTTTACGAAGGTCAGGTGCGGTATGCGGAGCGGGCGTAGCGATGGTGGACGACTCTTATGCGGTTATCGAAGACCGAGTGGAGCCGGGACTCTATTATACCCGGATGCGCTGGACGCTCGTCACGGAAGCCACGCCCCGGATTTTGTCGGACAGCGTTCTGTTGCTGGAAAAGGAGGGGAAGCGGTGCTACGTGCGGATCGCTTCGCAGACGCCCGTCCGGTGGATAATCCGCCCGGCCGTTTCGGAAAATACTTACGATTCTCCGAATCCGGGCGTTACGATCGTCGCATTCGATACGGATCTGACATGCGGCAAGCACAGCGGATATGCGTGTTTCTGATGCCCGGCGAAATGAAGGAGACGGCATATACTTCTGTCTTATAGTTTACTGAAAATAAGCATTGTATCCAATCTGAACGAATCCGATACGTTAGGCGGCGCAACTACATTCCGGAATGCGGCAATTCCAGATGCAGGATCGGATAGGGTCTGCCGGAACCGTCGGTTTCGCTACGGGAAACGTATCGGAATCCCAGGCGGGCGTAAAAACCCGCCGCCTGTTCGTTTTGCTCGTTGACGTCCACACGGGTAACGTGCAGGCGGTCGATTGCATATTCTACCAAATGCCGACCCAGGCCCTCTCCCGGAAGGCGGGATCGACGAACAGCATTTCGATTTTACGTTCGGATACCCCCATGAAAGCCACGATCGCGCCGTCGTTCCGCGCAAGCCGTACAGTTCGACGCTTTTCAGGTATTCGTTCCGGATCAGCGGTTTCAGGTAGCGGATATACGCCTCGTCCAAAAGTGATGCGTAGCGCGCACCGATGCTTCCCAGAGTGCTGTCAAGGCGCGAAATCGGTGGCGGCGGGACGAAAAAATGTCGGATCCATCGGAAGATGCGGTTTGGATTATTCGACTGAAATGCCGATCATTACGGTCGTTTGATCGGTATGATTCCAGACGGCGTGCGCAATGCAGCCCGGTACCCGACACGATTCGGTTGGATCAGAATCCGTTCGGAATCGCCCAATCGGATGCGGACTTGACCGCTGGTTACGATAAACAGATGGTCGTGCCGATGAGTATGCATTTCAACGGGGCCTCCGCCGCCCGTTTCGAGGTAAGCGATCGCGGCGTCGATTATTTTCCCTTCCTGCCGAACAGTTTTTTTCGCCCGGAAAAGAAGGTGGTCGGCAGGAGTGATAAAATCTTTTAAATCATTGAAATCCATCAGTTCGATTCATTTAACGATTCATTCTGGTCAGCACGAGGGCCGACCGGCACAGGTTGTAGATGCGGATGTATGGCCGCGTACTGCCGTCGCTGTCGGTCTGCGAAAAACTGAACGCTTTCACAGCCGGGTCGATCCGGCCGTAACCGCCGAATTCGGGAGCGTCGGAAGTCAGTACGATCCGGTAACGGCCCGGTTCCGGAACCGGGATCGCATAGTCGGGAATACTGTTCCGAGGGTGCCAGTTGAATACGAAAACCGTTGTCCCGTGACTGAATGCGAGTGTTTGGTTCGCCGTATCCATTAGGTGGTTATAAGCGTACCCGCTGCCGAGGATGTCGTATTCCGCACCAGTTTCAGCATGGCCCGGTCGAAAGCGCCCAAGTAACTGTAACGCAGAAATCCGTTCTCGGCAAGACTCCACAGACGCCGCGCGTGAGCATAGCTCCAGCCGTTCCCTTCACGCGGGAAATCGATCCATTCGGGATGTCCGAATTCGTTGCCCATAAAATTCAAATAGGCCTGTCCCGCCAGCGAGATCGTAAAAAGCCGGATCATCTTGTGCAGCGCCATGCCGCGTCGATCACGACGTTCTGTGCGGCGCGGTTCATATCGGTGTACATCTGCTTGTCATCAGCCGGGAACGCAATGGTCTGGTCGCCGACCAATGCCTGGTCGTGCGACTCGCAGTAGGCCACCGTTTTGACATAAGGCAGCCGGTCGTCATCATGTTCCACATCTGCCAGATGTCCCACTGTTCGTCAGGCACTTCTTTCAGCAGTTGATCCAGAAGTCGGGCACGGCCATGCCGAGCCGGTAGTCGAACCCTACCCCGCCCTCTTCGGCCGCGGCGCACATGCCGGGCATACCGCTGACGTCCTCGGCAATCGTGACGGCGTGCGGATACAGGTCGTGGATCAAC